TGAGCAATACCCAGCCCTAAGCTTTATCTACAATATATTCGACTCAAAGAAAGTAACTCAGTAATTGTTAACCACTGTATCTTCACTGAGAGAAATGTATGTTCAACTTTTCATGACACCACATCTCAAACAGAAAAACAGTAAAACGGCCTGTTCGCCATTAGACAAAGACGTCGACAGCCACAAATCTTAAACATTTCTCAAGCCCCTACAACTGTTTATGGCCTGCTCTTAAATCACGCTGCCAGCTCTGATAACACATGATCTTTTGAGCCATATTTTTAACAGCCCTTGCCCTTGCCCTTTCCTCTCTCGTTTTTACATGCGTTTTTCATTTGCGGATTAATCTGGGATTCTGTGTTCAAAAGACGCATGCATCGACAGAGAGCAGATGGGAGACACATGCTGACCCCTCTGGAAGTCAAGCAGAGAAAATGAATGGGAATTTGTACCTCTGAGTTATCGCAAAATCTAATCAACAAGAACAAGTGAGATTTGATATCATCTTTTGAATGCGCTGGAGACGGCAGCAAGTCCGAGGTAGCTCTGAAACGGTTGTTGTTTTGTACTTTACAATTGTTTTTTTGCTTTTGTCTAGCTGTAAATGTTACTGCAGTACATAGTGTTCATGGTTTTAACGGATCCAGACCAGTGCAGAGCAGAGAGGAGGCACGGTCCTGACCAGGCAGACCAACACCATCTCTGCTGCTGTGACCTAAAGCGCTGTTGCATTTTGTTACTATTGTTAGCTACTTTTAGAATTAGGTATTTGTTTTGTTTCTATGGATGAATATGTTTCTGCTGCTACTGGACACCTGAGTTTCTCCTACGAGGATCAATAAAGGGGGGATGCCAGTGACTCAGTTGGTAGAGCATTGGCCTTAGAGCCTGAAGGTTGTGGGTTCGAGCTGTGAGATTTCATAACACTTTTAAGCAACTTTTGTTAAAGTTAAACTCATCATTCTATCAATGTGCAGAAGCCAGTACTTTTACCTTGTTTTGTCTATCTGAAGGCCAAGCTACATGGCACCGTGGAAGCTGCTGATTGGAGGTCTCCATGCCTCCGCTCTGTATAATACACTTGCTGTCGTAACATCCCTTGTTTGTGTGCTTTGTTCGTGCTGTCTCTACCATCGACAATAAAACATGTCTTCTGTCTGAATTAAAGACGCGATCCCAGACTTGGCTCATCTTCTTCAGGTGGTGGGAGAATGCAGGCATTGTCTGTAACATCTAGAGATCCCAGACTTTGTCGTCTTCTTCAGAGCCCACCACGAGACCTTCTCCACCGATGTCTGCTGTCATCGTGTCCTTGGGCAAGACACTTAACCCCACTTTGCCTGAAGCCCCTGCTGAAAGATCAAGGCTATGCTCTCACAGACAGAGCAGCCATTCTCCTGTGGACTCACCACCTGCAGAGGATCAGTGAGGGGTTGGTACTATCTGACTTGGGTGGCATCTCTGATTGCCAATCCCCCAACCCAGAAATGGATTAAGGGGTAAAAAATGGATGGATGGAAATGGATGGGATCAATAAAGTAACTATCTATCAAATCAAGCACAAACAGAGGAAAAATAGAACTTTGTAAAGTGCCATTCTTTATGTGCTGTCAATTATAGCATATGCAGGTACTCAATGTTTGGCCTGGGATCAGGGGGAAAGGTGTCTTGCCAAGAAACACACCAATTGGTTGCACTTTATAACCTCAGCCGTCTCAGTGAGAACATAGATCATAAAAATACATGGAGTACGCTGTATATGCAGTGGAGTGACGCTTTCAAAGACGTCTTGTTCATTTATCTTAGTACTCAAGATTTGGAACAGTAAGTGTAAATAAAATCTCTATCATACACATATGCAAACTTCTGACCGATGTTTCCTGCTTTCCCCGCACTCAACAAAACCAAAACAAAACAGTGAAACACGCGCAGAGGCCGTGTGCTTCATCACAGTAAGCGAGTCGTCTGTGAGTTTTAAATAATGACTAAGTCTAAAGAGAACTGTTTGGTCGCTGTTACAGATCGGAAGAGAAAACGCCTGCTGCAGAAACTCAAATAAATAGTCCAGCTGAGGGAATGTTCCTCCCAGAAGTGAGATGTTGTGGTAGAAACCTCCCCATGAGCCGTCCCATCTGTCCACCGGAACCACAAGGTTTACTTTAGCCGTGACAGAGAGAGCGAACCTAGAGACCACACTGAAGCCTGATCTATAACCACTGATTTTTATTAACAAGTTCCAAGCCATTATTGTTTGTATTTACTATGTATCACCTCCACCTCCACGTCAGGCTCAGAACTGTCCATGCCCAGTCTCCTTAATGAGTAAACGTGGATGGTGGTGATTGTGTGTGTACAGCCAGACGAACTACAGCTGTATTTTCCTTGCGGTGCTAATTATTTCCTGGAGAACACTTAGCTTGTCACATCAGGGAGGGCCGGCCGGGTGAGACCTTCCACACGTGCAGCGAAGGAAACGCAGCTCGTCATACACATACAGTATATAAACAATATATAACAATCTACACGCCTCAATGTGCAGCAGGGTTCATGAATGAGCAAAGTCCTACACACTTGGTAACGGGGTAAACTTACTGCCATCATAGTGGAACCATTGACTTTTTATTTGTTTTTTACACTTTCTAGAACTAATCCAGTTTGGCTAGCACCTTTCAGAGGTACAGTGGGGATGTCAGAATTCTTAAAAAAAACAATTCAATTATAATATTCTATTCAATAATGGATGATGCATGAATTTCAGCATGGATTTTCCTTGATTGTTGTCATGTGATCTGTAGTGGGAGTGTAACTATGACGGGGTGAACTAACAATAACATATTTACAGATAATTCATCCCACAGAGGGGAAAATGTTGGTGTTGCAGCGCACACAGAACAAGAGCACATAAGTAACACTTATGAGACTTACATAGACATACAGAGACATACAGAGACATACAGAGACATACAGAGACTTACATAGACATACAGAGACATACAGAGACATACAGAGACACACAGAGACATACAGAGACATACAGAGACTTACATAGACATACAGAGACATACAGAGACATACAGAGACATACAGAGACATACAGAGACATACAGAGACATACATAGACATAAAGAGACATACAGAGACATACAGAGACATACAGAGACATACAGAGACATAAAGAGACATACAGAGACATACAGAGACATACAGAGACATATAGAGACATATAGAGACATACATAGACATACAGAGACATACATAGACATACAGAGACATACATAGACATACATAGACTTACATAGACATACATAGACATACAGACATACATAGACTTACATAGACATACATAGACATACATAGACATACATAGACATACATAGACATACATAGACATACATAGACATACAGACATACATAGACTTACATAGACATAAATACAGAGACATACAGAGACACACAGAGACATACATAGACATACAGAGACACACAGAGACATACAGAGACATACATAGACATACAGAGACATACATAGACATACATAGACATACATACAGAGACATACAGAGACACACAGAGACATACATAGACATACAGAGACACACAGAGACATACAGAGACATACAGAGACATACATAGGCATACAGAGACACACAGAGACATACATAGACATACAGAGACATACAGAGACACACAGAGACACACAGAGACATACATAGACATACATAGACATACATAGACACACAGAGACAAACATAGACATACAGAGACACACAGAGACATACAGAGACATACATAGACATACAGAGACATACATAGACACACAGAGACATACATAGACACACAGAGACATACATAGACACACAGAGACATACAGAGACATACATAGACATACATAGACATACATAGACATACATAGACATACATAGACATACAGAGACATACATAGACACACAGAGACATACATAGACACACAGAGACATACATAGACACACAGAGACATACATAGACACACAGAGACATACAGAGACATACATAGACATACAGAGACATACATAGACACACAGAGACATACATAGACATACAGAGACATACATAGACATACAGAGACATACATAGACATACAGAGACATACATAGACACACAGAGACATACATAGACACACAGAGACATACATAGACACACAGAGACATACATAGACACACAGAGACATACAGAGACATACATAGACATACAGAGACATACATAGACATACAGAGACATACAGAGACATACAGAGGTATTCATATAAAAGGTCTGTGTGAACTATTAGAGCAGTGCACTCAGAATCATCTTGTTTTTTAAGTATATATTAATTGTCCCTGTATTGAAATTTTCCTCTGCATTTGATCCATCCCTCAATGTCACCACGGCTGGGCTGTCCATACCAAGGCTTGCGGGGCCAATTGCGGCCTGCAGTGTCCTTTCATGTGGCTCCCTAACTTGCCTAACCATTGAGGCACTTTTACAGCGTCATCCAGCCAACTTCAGCGTCAACAATAAAGTCCAACGTACAATACCTTGCCACAAAACTCCATAAATGGCAGTAATGTAGTTGTGATGCACGTGAATAAGTCTTGTGAACTAAAGTGGCTCTCTTACCACTCTCTTTGTGTATTGTTCGGTTTCATTTTCGAGTTGTTGGGTAAATTATGAGCACAGTAAATGTAGTTTTTTCCCCATTCTTTGCCAGTAGCTTTACTCACAATCAAAACAACAGCCGTGATGAATCCTTCAGCTCCAGCTCCCTCAGATACCCCCCAAGGCGCAAAGCATTCTGGTCTTGTGCAAGTAGTGAATGGACTTTTAACATGCGTACATGACTCATTGTCTTTGCTAAGTCTTTTTGTATAAACATGAGCCGCTTGCAGGTCGAAAGTGTTAGAAATGACATAACCGGTTAGGAAAAGGGGCGAGAAAAGAGCACTTGAGTTCAGTGGGTCCCTCAAGTCCCATCGGGATCCTACCTTTCTGTGCAGAGTGCTGTGTTGTGTCATGGCCAAGGTGAAGCTGTGAGCCCCCTTTAGCTTCGTCTTCTCCCAAAGAGCTGCCAGTCTCTGCACACACTCATGCTGGGAGGACAGAGGGACGCTCGACTTACTCTGGGGGGAGAAGAAGAAGAAAAACATCCTCACATTAGCAATATAAAGAATAAGAGAGGATGAGAAGAAGTTTCTTTCCTGAAGCCATAGGACTGCTAAACCGGACCTAACTATAACTCAGTCTCTGTTCTGGTTCTGTTTCTTGTGTTATTGTGTGTTCTGAAAACTGTTTCGAACATCTGCTGGAGGTACATAAGAATTTCACTGCATGTAATGTGTGTGTGACAACAAATAAACTAAACTAAACGATACACATTTCAAAGAGCTCCTCGTTTTGGAGGTTGGCAGCTCAAAAGTCTCCAAAAGTCTGTCCTGGTAACCATGGTAACTGGTTTAGTTTGTAGCTACGTTCTGTAATTCCAAGACCGATCCACATGAAACAAAAACTGCCACAAAGTTCAACGCCTTCTTTGTCAGTAAATATCGACTTTGGTCTCAATATTTTCCCATAAAGTCGTCTAGAACGTCACGTGGGGACTTTTATTTTTATTTTTCATTTTTTTTACTTTGACTTCATTTTGTTGCCTCATCTGTGTTCTTGCAGTTTTTGAGTTCTCCTTCCTGTCCCATTGAGGGTTGGCCCCGCCCTAATGTGATTCCCCTGTGTATTTATACCCTGTGCTTTTCCCCATTGTTGTCCGTCCATTGTTTATTGTTTGTTCTGGACTTGTTTTGAGGTCTGGATTTTTGTGTTTTATTGTTACCCTGGATTTGGTTTTATTTACGTAAGTGAATCAGTAGTTTTAGTAGTAGTAGCAGTTTATTTTCACACTTTATTTTCAGTCCTGCATTTTGGGTTATTTTTTGGGTTCTTTATTTTCTACCCAAACATAAAAAAAACAGTTTGCATGACATGAATCGAATCACTATTAAATAAGGATCTAAGAAAACATTTGGGAATTCTCTCTTTCAACATTTTCATTCAAAATGCTTCTTTCCCACAGACCGGCCAAAAAGACTGAAATCTAGAACATGAACACAACTCATTACAATATTGTATGTGGTCTATCAGAGCACACATGTCGGACACACAATCCAATGTCTTCAAACTTGAGCGCTGAAAGATCTTGAGTTTTTGTATCAGTAGATCTATGTGGCCTCTACATTTGAGCGAAAAGTCCTTGAGCCGGTGCCGCTGGGGGCCACCTGTCAGGAGGCTCGGGGACCACCTCCACCTCCAGCTCGGTTCAGGGCCGGCTTCACTGGGGGTATCACCTGAGCACGTTATGGTGGTTGATGATGAGGGGAGTTGAAGCTTGCTGTTTTCATGAACTCTCACTCACCCAAGTAGAAGTTTATCCGGCAGATTATGAATGAGGAGAATGAGAGGTGAAACTTAAAATGTGAAACTAAAACATGATGCTGAGTCAGTACATGGGAAGTGACATATGCCTTTGTTTGTTATAATGATGATGGTTATGGCTTACAGCCCATTTTCAAAATATTCTCATTCTCTGAGATGTTTTATGTTTTTACAGTTTTTACAGCTGTGATCCAATTACAACCAATATAACAAATACAGGATTGACATATCTCACTTTGTGCATAATGACTCTATTAATATGAATTCTATTTTGTAAGTTGAAATACAGAAGTAAAAGGATTCTAATTAATTCAATTCAATTTATTTTGTATAGCCCTAAATCACAACAGCAGTTGTTGATTCGCCAACAACAGATCAGAGAATCAAACCATTTGAACACAGAAAATGCAATAATAACAAACACATGGACCATTGGTCCAGAAGGAGCGGGAGGACCACTGTTCATTAATGTTAATACAAGTCCTTAAATGTCCAAGATAATCGCTGTCTTTAGATCATCCGGCATTGGCAACAAACCACTCTGACACTGGGGGAAAAAGTAGAAACTCAGGGACGCTTATAGTGTGAGAGGGATCTACTCCCACGGCCAGAGAGGCATAAGATCCAGGACTGAGGCTGTAGAACCAGAACTGAGGCTGTAGAACCATGACTGAGACTGTAGAACCAGGACTGAGGCTGTAGAACCAGGACTGAGGCTGTAGAACCAGGACTGAGACTGTAGAACCAGGACTGAGGCTGTAGAACCAGGACTGAGACTGTAGAACCAGGACTGAGGCTGTAGAACCAGGACTGAGACTGTAGAACCCGGACTGAGGCTGTAGAACCAGGACTGAGGCTGTAGAACCAGAACTGAGGCTGTAGAACCAGGACTGAGACTGTAGAACCAGGACTGAGGCTGTAGAACCAGGACTGAGACTGTAGAACCAGGACTGAGGCTGTAGAACCAGGACTGAGACTGTAGAACCAGGACTGAGGCTGTAGAACCAGGACTGAGACTGTAGAACCAGGACTGAGGCTGTAGAACCAGGACTGAGACTGTAGAACCAGGACTGAGGCTGTAGAACCAGAGCTGAGGCTGTAGAACCAGGACTGAGACTGTAGAACCAGGACTGAGGCTGTAGAACCAGGACTGAGGCTGTAGATCCGGGACTAAGGCTTTTAGAACCAGGACTGAGGCTGTAGACCCAGGACTGAGGCTGTAGACCCAGGACTGAGGCTGTAGAACCAGAACTGAGGCTGTGGAAACAGAACTGAGGCTGTGAAACCAGCCATCAGGCCGTAGATCCTCAGACCAGACCATGGGTGACCAGTTCACAGTTCAAAATGAACTTTTGAACAATATTCTAATTTTATGAGTTTCACCTGTATGGCTATAATCTCCATAATATGGTCAACACAGTGAAATCTCTGGCTGGGTCGGTACAAAGCTCGTCGGGACAAAGCTGGTCCTATAGAGCGTTCGCGTGCGGCACCTGTAGATGGAGCAGCATGAGGTGTATCCACTGGTGCGGCTGCCGGCTCGTCAGGCTGAAGCAGGACTTAGGGTACAGGCAGTAGTGTCCCTTCAGCGGGCAGGAGAAGGACAACCTGGCCACGCACCCCCGGCTGGAATCTGTTGCACAAGAGCGAGAGAGAGAGAGAGAGAGAGAGAGAGAGAGAGAGAGAGAGAGAGAGAGAGAGCATGACACACGCTGGGCTTGCATTACAAATCACTCTAATGTTCTGCTCTAACTGTGACTCTGCGCTTTCCCTCGCACACATATGGACTTGTGTAACCGTAACCCCAGCACCGAGAGACTTTAAAGCAGACAAGAACACGGATGTCTCCCACAAACTGCAAACTCAGCCAAACACAAGAGTTTTTAGATGTATTACCACACAATGGAAAAACAACACCAAACTGTAATGCTACTTCCAACGCTTGTACTGTAGTGTAAATATGATACAGGACGCTCTGACCAACACGCAGTTTGAAGAGGGGAAAATGGATAGATTTGAGCTGTGGTTTGTGAACTGGTCCCATGTGAGAGCAGTGTGATGACATGATCCATCAGAGACCAGCACTTTGGATTTAGGGCTGCACTCGATTAAAGACGTTCTTGGACGACGGACGACATTCTTTTTACCAATTGTTCAAATAAAAAGTGTGGCAAAATCTGTCAAAGCTGTTACTCATCGCAAAATAATTGCAAATGGACACGAGCTCGAGCCAAAACTCACATTTTTACGTTCAAATATTTTTGGAAAAGTACCAGGAAACAGTGTTTTTATGAGTAAAAAGTAGGCTGCACAGATCCGGCTTTGCACAAGTTACTGACAATAACATTATCTCAGTTTATTACAGAATGTATGATAACAGATACATGTATTTGTCTTGCAATTAAAGGCATTTAGTCAGATTCTCCCAGAAGTCCCGCCTCTCTGCAAAACTGCCCTTTCCCACAGAGACACTCAAGTTTTCAGCTATTTTCTGTCATCCAGCTCCTCTGCTGCCTCCAGAGGGTTTTCTTTAAACTGCTCTTCATTTTTTTCTAAAATCTGCAGCTACATACATACTCTGCAATCCACTGAGCATGTGCAGCTAAAATCTGGAACAGTCTTCCTGAATATGTGAGACAGTTTTCTTCTCTGACAATGTTCAAATCCAGGTTAAAACAGTTCTGTTTAGCTGCAAACAACTGAGGAGGGATTTTATCTCTACTCATTACTGTACTGTAATTATTATGTTCATGCCTTGTGTGATTGTTTCTATCTTGTTTTGTTTAGCACCTTGCCTTGTGTATGAACTGTGCTATACATATAAACTTGACCAACCATTTCACACTGGTCCCTACCAGTATCTCTAACAATGAGTAACTCACTCATTATAGAACCGATCCCGATACTGAATTGGCACCAATATTCAACAGCAGCTCCTCGACAGTAGCTCAGTTGGTAGAGCATTGGCCTTAGAGCCTGAAGGTTGTGGGTTCGATCCCACCGTAAGACCTACTTCACGATTCCCACTGATGTCTGCTGTCGTTGTGTCCTTGGGCAAGACACTTAACCCTACTTTGCCTGAAGCTCCCACTGAAAGATCTCAGCTCTTGTGGACTCACCACCTGCAGGAGGACCAGTGAGAGGCTGGTGCTAAGTGTACTGGGTGCAGCTCTGACTGCCCCACCCCCCCGACCCAGAAATGAATTAAGGGGAAGAAAATGGATGGATCGGCTCCTCGACTAAAAAGGCAGAAAAAGTCTTTGCTGAACTTCTCCAAACTTCTTTCTGCTGTGAACCCTTTAAAACACAGGAGTCAAAGTCAAGGCCCAGGGCAACAATGGCATGTTATCCATTACTAAGAAAACAACCATAACATTTAATTCCATGAGAAATGTTAAGCCAACATGTAATTAGAAGTTAGTATCATTTTGTTATGTTTTTTACGAGTCTTCAATTACATTTCACAATTAAAGATATGAAGAAGGATTTCCCAATTTTCTTAGGAGAACTGCCCTCCCCACTTTTTGAACAAAACTCTGTGGTCTAGTACGTATCACCAGAATGATGGACAATTGGGAGGAGCAATAATCTTGATGATCTACCCAAAAGTAACAAATATTCCTAGATACCTTCAATATTTCGTCCAGTTTTGGTTCAGTCCACAGAAACTGAACTAATTCTAATCAGAAAAAGAATATCCACTATCTAAATAATGTGAAACAAGTCTTTTATTTAGATACCTTCATATTCCAAAAACAATTAATAAATGAAACTCACTTATTTTTTTGGCCCCTGACCAGCTCTTTCTTTTTTTATTCGGCCCTCAACTAAAATAAGTTTGACACCCCTGCTTTAGAAGGTGGGGTACCTGACTTTTGTTTCATAAATAACATACATATTGTTTGTCCCAACAGAAATGACACAATTCTGTCTGCAAAACACACCGTCTTTTGCTTTGGTGAGTCGCTATTTGCTGTTGTCCACATTTTTCACTTTTCAGTCAAAGAAGATGAAATGAAGCTTCAGCAGAAGTTCAAATGGACAACCTACGTCATCCCACGGGGCCCACGCCTTCCTCAGCCTCACATCAGCTTCATCAGCTCCCTGCAACCGCTAATCAAGCCAGCGCTTCAAAGATGAACACCGCAAAACCAAACAGCCTTTTCAAGCAGCAACCATCTCCTCCTCCACCTCTTCCTCCACCTCCTCCACCTCCTCCTCCACCTCCTCCTCCTCCACCTCGCTCACAACCACCTTGCCCTGTTTCCACCACCAGTGTCTTGGCCCCGGGGAATCATGATCTGCATCAAGCACAGATCCTCACAGAGCAAGGTCACAGCCAGAACTAAAAAACTACAAACAAAACTCGCAATCAATACAGTGGATTTTGATTGTCAAAGTTTAAGTTTTGTGCTACATGTTACTATTGTCGGTATGAGAAACAGTAAATTAGCAAAATGTCACAGTTGTATCAGTGGTTTGGCAGTATAAGTCTCAACTTCAGCCTCAATCCCTTTCAGTCAGGCATTATTTAGCACTAAATTTCTTAAAAGAGACATTGTAGTTCTTTTGTTGTTGTAAAATGTCTATACTATCTTTGAAAACATGTGACCTGAGATCTGATGTACATAATGGCCAAAGAAAATGAACTACTACTGCATCTTTAAAACGCATCTTGTCTCTTGTAGTCTCTCCAGATTGAACTAAAACAGTGACAGAGGCAGACAGTACCAACATGGAGAAGCTACAATTGTTCCCAGCTGTTTCTAGAAACTAGTTTGAGAGGTATTTATTTTCTTCACTGAGGTAATTCATAAAAACAAAAGTTGGCTACAAATCTAGATCTATCATTTTTCATCGACTAAGAAACTATTATCCATTGATTTAAATACATTTAGTCTATTGCCCTGATTAAAATACAACTCCCAAACTCCCAATGGAATATTTGAAGAGTTTTGTCGGATAATGATGAAGCAAAAAGGATTACCGGATCTGTGAAAAGTCTCTCAGCTCAAATGAGTGGAGGTCAAGAGGCAGAACAAACACATCCTCCTCTGTCAGTCAGAGCGTCCTTGTGGGAGTTGTAATAGTTGTAAATGTGGTCAGATAAATGAGTTTGTTCACTGGGCTGGCTGCAGAGCGCTGCTTTAGACAAACAAGTGACATCAGCATTATCTGCATGTGCTGTAATGTGTTAGGAAAGTGAAAGTGCAGCCGTGAACTCTCCACGTCCCAACGAAATATAATCAAACTCTAGATATAAACACAGCCTCATTCAGTCTTAAAGCAGGGGTATCTACAAAAGCAACTATGTAATATTATATGATCCATGTAATTAGTTCCTTCATCTGAAAAAGTCCTGAGTTTTCACATTTACAGTATGTATCTTATGTGGTCATTACAAACTCCCTATACTTTCAAAATAAATGTTATTATTAAGGTTAGGACCAGGACCAGAGAGAATCACATCAGGTGAGTGTGCAATGACTTCTACAGCGCCTGGATTTCAGACAGGAGCAGATGAGAGCAGATAGGAGCAGGCAGGAGCAGGCGGGAGCAGGCGGGAGCAGACGGGAGCAGACGGGAGCAGGCGGGAGCAGGCGGGAGCAGGCGGGAGCAGACGGGAGCAGGCGGGAGCAGACGGGAGCAGACGGGAGCAGACGGGAGCAGACGGGAGCAGACGGGAGCAGACGGGAGCAGACGGGAGCAGACGGGAGCAGACGGGAGCAGACGGGAGCAGACGGGAGCGGGCGGGAGCAGACGGGAGCAGACGGGAGCAGGCGGGAGCAGGCGGGAGCAGGCGGGAGCAGGCGGGAGCAGACAGGAGCAGACGGGAGCGGGCGGGGAGCGGGCGGGAGCGGACGGGAGCGGACGGGAGCGGACGGGAGGGAGCAGGCGGGAGCAGGCGAGAGCCGACGGGAGCGGGCGGGAGCGGGCGGGAGCGGGCGGGAGCGGGCGGGAGCGGGCGGGAGCGGGCGGGAGCGGCGGGAGCGGGCGGGAGCGGGCGGGGGCGGGCGGGAGGGGGAGCGGGCGGGAGCGGGCGGGAGCGGGCGGGAGCGGGCGGGAGCGGGCGGGAGCGGGCGGGAGCGGGCGGGAGCGGGCGGGAGCAGGCGGGAGCGGGCGGGAGCAGGGGGGGAGCGGGCGGGAGCGGGCGGGAGCGGACGGGAGCGGACGGGAGCAGGCGGGAGCAGGCGGGAGCGGACGGGAGCGGACGGGAGCAGGCGGGAGCCGACGGGAGCGGACGGGAGCGGACGGGAGCGGACGGGAGCGGACGGGAGCGGACGGGAGCAGGCGGGAGCAGGCGGGAGCAGGCGGGAGCCGACGGGAGCGGGCGGGAGCCGACGGGAGCGGGCGGGAGCGGACGGGAGCGGACGGGAGCCGGCGGGAGCAGGCGAGAGCCGACGGGAGCAGGCGAGAGCCGACGGGAGCAGGCGAGAGCCGACGGGAGCGGACGGGAGCGGACGGGAGCGGGCGGGAGCAGGCAGGAGCGGGCGGGAGCAGACGGGAGCAGGCGGGAGCGGACGGGAGCGGGCGGGAGCGGGCGGGAGCGGGCGGGAGCGGGCGGGAGCGGACGGGAGCAGGCGGGAGCAGGCGAGAGCCGATGGGAGCGGACGGGAGCAGGCGGGAGCAGGCGGGAGCAGGCGGGAGCGGGCGGGAGCGGGCGGGAGCGGGCGGGAGCGGACGGGAGCAGGCGAGAGCCGACGGGAGCAGGCGAGAGCCGACGGGAGCGGACGGGAGCGGACGGGAGCGGGCGGGAGCAGGCAGGAGCGGGCGGGAGCAGACGGGAGCAGGCGGGAGCGGACGGGAGCGGGCGGGAGCGGGCGGGAGCGGGCGGGAGCGGGCGGGAGCGGGCGGGAGCGGACGGGAGCAGGCGGGAGCAGGCGAGAGCCGATGGGAGCGGACGGGAGCAGGCGGGAGCAGGCGGGAGCGGGCGGGAGCGGGCGGGAGCGGGCGGGAGCGGGCGGGAGCGGGCGGGAGCGGACGGGAGCGGACGGGAGCAGGCGGGAGCAGGCGGGAGCGGACGGGAGCGGACGGGAGCAGGCGGGAGCCGGCGGGAGCAGGCGGGAGCAGGCGAGAGCCGACGGGAGCGGACGGGAGCAGGCGGGAGCAGGCGGGAGCAGGCGGGAGCGGACGGGAGCGGACGGGAGCGGACGGGAGCCGGCGGGAGCAGGCGGGAGCAGGCGAGAGCCGACGGGAGCAGGCGAGAGCCGACGGGAGCGGACGGGAGCGGACGGGAGCCGGCGGGAGCAGGCGGGAGCAGGCGGGAGCAGGCGAGAGCCGACGGGAGCAGACGGGAGCGGACGGGAGCCGGCAGGAGCAGGCGGGAGCCAACGGGAGCCGACGGGAGCCGACGGGAGCCGACGGGAGCCGACGGGAGCCGACGGGAGCAGGCGGGAGCAGGCGGGAGCAGGCGGGAGCAGGCGGGAGCAGGCGGGAGCAGGCGGGAGCAGGCGGGAGCAGGCGGGAGCGGGCGGGAGCAGGCGGGAGCGGGCGGGAGCGGACGGGAGCAGGCGGGAGCGGGCGGGAGCGGGCGGGAGCGGACGGGAGCAGACAGGAGCAGACAGGAGCAGACAGGAGCAGACAGGAGCAGACAGGAGCAGACAGGAGCAGACAGGAGCAGACAGGAGCAGACAGGAGCAGGACACACCACAGCAGTCAGCTCACAATAATGTTTACAACCCTGTGCTTCATTCATGTTAAACGTGATTTTTAACTCAACAATCATATTAATCACCTTGTCCACACTGTACACCAGTCGGGGACCTGTCTGTCTTAAAATAGTAATAATCTCAGCCATCTCCACCACACGTGTCATAACCTACTGCATTATGGGGAATGTAGTACATAAGGGAGAAAAGAGTTTTATAGTCTGTCCAGTCTAGAGAGAGGAGTCTGGAGCTCAGGGGACTTTGCTGGTGGCAGAGGTCAGAGTTCAAGGGATGGCTCTGATTGGACGCACCATCACCACCATCACAAAGTATATTTTGCTATCTTTGCTGATTGACAATGAGGACTCTTCACCTATAGATCTGTAGTTTAAGAAAGGCCGATAACTACATTAATGGTATGTTTAATTTACGTTATAGTACAAGCCCAGGTGGTCAAAATATCATGCGCAAAATATACAATAGTTAAAGGAAACACAATTCACCTTCGATGACACACTCTTCCGGGACAGGGATCTTCTTCAGGGCGTCTTCACAGAACTCTCTGATTTTCTCCATGTTTTCTCTCAAATGAATGAAAAGTCTGTCTTTCTCTGACTGATCCTTTTGACCGTCTGCATCTGTGCTCGCCGCCGCACATGTGAGCTGTGCAGACTGAGGCGTGTGTGGTGAGTGTTGTGTGTGTGGTGTGTGTGGTGAGTGTTGTGTGTGTGCTGTGTGTGGTGAGTGTGGTGTATGTGGTGTGTGTTGTGTGTGTGATGTGTGTTGTGTGTGTACTGTGTGTGGTGTGTGTGGTGAGTGTTGTGTGTGTGCTGTGTGTGGTGAGTGTGGTGAGTGTTGTGTGTGTGCTGTGTGTGGTGAGTGTGGTGTATGTGGTGTGTGTGGTGTGTGTTGTGTGTGTGGTGAGTGTGGTGAGTGTTGTGTGTGTGCTGTGTGTGGTGAGTGTGGTGAGTGTGGTGTGTGTTGTGTGTGTGGTGTGTGTGGTGAGTGTGGTGAGTGTGAGGGCTGAGGGCTGCTGGATGTGCTCTCAGTCTCTGGAGCAGCTGCCTCTCTGGACTCTGGGCTGGACAAACACACAGGGTCCAGGTGGAGGTCCGGGTCAGCGCCCTCGTCTCCCGGGTCGGAGCTTATGGAGCGGGAACGCACAACATGGAGGGCCAGGCTCTTTGATCTGAGACACACACAGGGAGACAGTATGGATGCATGAACGGCTGCACGCGAGACAGCTCCTGTTCAAGGTAAGAGATGGAATTGTATACTGTTCTTTTATTATTGTTAAAGTAGCAATATGCAAGATTTTAAAGTCAAGTCATCATTAAAGGGCCCTAATCTGTCAAAAGGCATTAATAAACTATGCTCTTTTCCAATACTTCTTTAACTGACAAAATTAGATTTACAGCCCTGAATCTGTTTTCATTTCGATGTCCCGCCCTCCACCGTTTTACCAATCAGAAGGTCTGTGATCCGGGTTGTCAGAACTCACTGTGCCGAGCTAGTCTCACTGGTAAAGTACCATGTGGCTGCAGAACTAAAAAAGATCTCGTTATGATTCTCAAATCATTAATGACAAAACACGGAATAAAACCAGGATTTCAGTCAGAGCTGCACCCAGTACACAGAGCACCAGCCCCTCACTGATCCTCCTGCAGGTGGTGAGTCCACAGGAGCTGAGATCTTTCAGTGGGGGCTTCAGGCAAAGTGGGGTTAAGTGTCTTGCCCAAGGACACAACGACAGAATTCATCAGTGGGAGTCATGAAGTAGGTCTATTGGTGGATTTGAACCTACAACCTTCAGGCCCAAAGGCCGATGCTCTACCAACTGAGCTACTGTTGCCCGAAACCAGAATTTCTATCTTTGTGAAAAATATTATGGTCCCAGCTGGATTTGTCTGCATATCTGGCAACCTGAGTCAGGGAGAGTACTGAATATTGACCGTGATTGCAGCACCACTTTTGGCCAGATTTTTACATTTGGCTCCGATAAAAATGTATTTTCGCTGCAGTGCATCCAGGAGAGAATTACGCACCACGTGACTACTAATATTCGGTACTTTGATTTTAACTTTGATGAAATTGTAGAAATACAGTAAATAAATCTGAACGTTCCTTCCCTCAAAATATCTTTCCACATGACTTTTTTTGTTTTTTGATAAAAGCAAATGACTGGGTCCACATCAAAAGTCAATAGTGAGACTTAAAAAGGTTAACATTGTCTCATAACGACACATGTATAGATTAGAACTACGTGAATAAGGCATGAGTGTGTACTACTAAAATCAAACCTGTTGAATCGGATCTCGCGCCGCTCCTCTCGTAGGGCTTGGCTCAGGCTGTAGCGCCGCTGAGGCCCCGGAGCGCCCTCTGCGTCTCCAGCTTCAGGCCCCAGTTTGTCCCCGAAGCCCTGGACGTTCACTTCCAGCCTGCGCTCTGGTGCTGGGGACGTCCCATACACAGACAGGGGGCTTTCCGTGGTCGGCCTGAAACACCAACACAAGCAGGTCAAGAAGACAAATCACGCAATATTTAATGGAACTATTTACAAATTCTAACTATTTTTGGAAGGTGAAATTATATTGCGAGTAGAAAAATAGTATCACGCTTCCCACCATCAGAATTTGTTTGTATGGAATTTGTTTTGTTTTTTCCATTTATGTGAATACAAGTGGGCAATAATGACTGCAGATTCATTCCAAATAATTGGGGCAAACAACATGAGTTACTGTCTTAGCGACAGTAGCTCAGTTGGTAGAGCATTGGCCTTAAGGCCTGAAGGTCGTGGGTTCAAATCCCACCTTGAATTGAACCCACCGACTCCCGCTGATGACTGCTGTCGTTGTGTCCTTGGGCAAGACACTTAACTCCACTTTGCCCAAAGCCCCCACTGAAAGATCAAGGCTATGCTCACACTCAGAGAGCAGCCGTCCTCCTGTGGACTCACCACCTGCAGAGGGTCAGTGAGGGGCTGGTGCTATGAGACTTGGGTGGCATCTCTGACTGCCACCCCCCTGACCCAGAAATGGATTAAAGGGTAGAAAATGGATGGATGGATGGAACATGAGTTATTTCTGTGGGAAAGTTCAGAACCCCAGCTTTAACATTTAACATTCACTCTTGAAGATTTTTTTTTTTACCTTTTCTTTAAAATTATAGGCTTTTACCAAATGGTTGAGATGTAGTTTGATGTTTAAAGTGCATAAAACCAATTGAGATGCCCTAAAGAGAGTATCAAGCAGGCTTCAAGTCTATATACTGTATATTGACTCAAAAGGTGATCTACCAAATATTCAAGGAAACCATTAAAGGGTTAAAGTCATTGCCCTCTGACCTGGACTGTGGCTGTGGCCGGTCCTCCAGCCTCCTCCCCAGCACTCGGGCCATGGCGCTGAAGGAGTTGCTCATGCGGTACATGTCTTTGCCGCAGCCGCCCAGCAGCAGAGGGAAGCGGTCACTCAGAGCCCGGACCTCCTGCAGCACAGTGTGGTGGACGCTGTGCTCCAGGCTCCCGAGGACGGACACCAGGAAGACCAGTGAGCCGTGGGCCTGGCTCTGCACACACCGGGACAGAGTAAGTAAGTATGGTTTATTTATATAGCGTATTTAACAGATCAAGGTCACCCAAAGTGCTTTACAAGTTCAGAGTTGTTACTCCATTCATGTGTGGAGACACATGGTGATGACGGAAGCGAGTCGCGAACACACTGGACCATAAAAGCCTCAAACACCATCCATTCACACATACATTTATACCCATTGTGCATGTTTTATACTGGCAGGGGAAACCGGAGCAACTGGAGGAAACTGGAGCAGACAAGGGGAGAATATGCAAACTCCACTCAGAAAGACCCTGTTCCAACCGGGATTCAAACCCAGGACCTTCATGCTGAGAAGCGAGAGTGCTATCGACTCAGCCAAAAGCACGAGCACAGTTATTCCACTGTCTGTCACGGTTCTTAAAGTGAATGATTAAGATTAAGATGAAGAGATTCTTTGTTCTGACCCACAGTGAGGAAATGTCAGTGTTGCATCACCAGTTACAGTACTGAATATAAGTACCGACAGAGCGAAGCGGTCTGCTCAATGTATTCGATTAACATTTAAATGTGTTGATTGATTGTTATTCGTGTCTATTGAGCGTGGCTAGCTCCGATAGCTTCTCTCTGCAGAGACAGTAGTAGTGACGTAGCCCGTTGTGACGAAGGGCCGGACTACTTGCGGAGTAATCTACACACCTGAATTACAAGCAGAGATTGCGTTGCCATGGCAGCGGTCATTATTGTTATGAGAGGTCCGTTATCAAGAAATAATGAGCAGTAGAATGTTTTGAAATCACATTTAAATCAATGAGGCGTTCTACTGCTGCTGTGAGGAGCCGAATAATAACATAAAATAAAATCTTTAGCTCAGGTAGAGTACAGTTCATTCTACAGCCTGTGGAAAAACAGTTGAAACATGTAACGTATTTAAAGCAGTTACAGAAGCACAGTAGTGGATGGATCATAGAGAGTGTGAGTGTGCCACAAACAAGTTTTCTTTTCAATTTAAGTCAATAGAAGCCAGAGCTGGTGTCACGTTCTGAAAAGGATGAAGGACCCAAAATGCAGGACTGCCAAAATATAGGATTTAATAAACAAAAACCAAAATCTAGGACACAGAACTAAAAACTCAAATCAGGACAAAACAGGGACAAAATCGCAATGGACCAACAACAAGGGGAGAGGAGCACAGGGTTTAAATACACACAGGGACACACATATGTAACACATTAGGGCGGGACAGGAAATTAACAGAACAGACAATGAAGAACTAGAAGTAATCAAAAAGTCCACACCATAACAGCTGGAGCAAAACTTTGTCAATGACCAGTTCCCTAGTGGGCTTCATTGAGCTTGCAGGTTAGCATTAGCATTAGCATTAGCATTAGCAGTGTCCATTATAAAGTTAATGGATGGGACCCAAAACCCTGGACTCCCTGCCCTGGACATACGGACCAGTCCCCAGTCTGTCGTTGGGAAGTTGGACTTGATACGACTTTTGTTGGGATTTTTGGTGGTTAAAAGAATGAATTCAAGTAAAATGACACTCTGTAAAACAGTAAACAAAGAATGAAAGCCTTTGTGCGTTGGAGCATATTGTTTGGAGCCTGGTCTGGTCCACAGTTTTACATAGAGAAAGTCAAGCGTCAAATATTCTGTGAACCAGATGAGTCACACAAATACAAACATATGTAATGAGCTCCAAACAAAGAATAGATTCTAAAACATGTTTGTCAGCCCTGAGCATGGTCTTTTGTTTCAGAGCGAAAGCATGAAAAAGTATGTCGTGATTTAATAAAAGTTCTCCTGCAACGTTTATCTGAATAAACAAATGCCAAGGAACTATTAGAGTAAATAACACACAATCTCCCCTGTTGATTTTAGATCTGGACCAGGGTTTGTGCGTGTGTGTGTGCGTGTCTGTGTGTGTGTCTGTGTGTGTGTACATGTGTGTGTGTGTGTGCACTTGTTTTCAACTCCTGGTGGGTTCCATAACCTGAGATTCCACTCACGTCATGGGGACTGGTTTTACGTGGTGGGGCCCGAACACCGGACCCCACTGGTCCAAGCTTAATAATCAATGGGTAATGCTTTTCTAACGGTCCTTATGCAGTCTCTGTAAAAATATGGAAAGGACCCCTGGAGGTTTACTTTCCTGAAAAAAGTGTGTTATGTGTCGGAACCCTGGTGGTGGGTTGCAGAATATCAAGGAGGGGCACACTGGGGCAATTTCAGTCCAGCAGGCTGGAGCCAATCATGGAGCAGCACAACAGAGGAAGTCAGGTGTCAGGCTAGAAAAAGGTGCAAGTGTGTGGTTCATTAGGCTGCAAGAAATCATGAAGGAGCACACTGAAGCGCACGCTTACAAACCACTGGTAAGTGCTGACTACAAGTCATGACTTCAAATTGTTATATAGAATTATTACAAATTATTTGTTGTTTGTGCAGCTTAGTCAAGAGTCCCTAATGGATGAAGTCGACTCAGATTCTGACGATTTAACTGTCAAGAAGAAACCTGTGAAAAAGTATGGAAAAAGAAAAATCAAAAACACTTTTCTTCAAGACTCGGAAAGTGACGAACCAAAGGCAAATAAGATTGTTATCATGCAGCTGCAAAAGAAGAAAAATGGGGGGAGAGTTTACAGCAAGAGGCACTTCTGCCTCTACTGTTCAATGTCCTGCCACAAAATGTCCCGTCATTTGACTAGAAAACATGGAAATGAAAGTGACGTAGCCAGAGCATTGGCTCTACCTGTGAAATCTAAAGCACGTAAACTTCAGTTTGATTTGATCAGGAATAGTGGAAACCGTGAGCACAATTTTGAGGTTTTAAAGGCCGGCATTGGAACTTTAGTCCCAGCTAAACAGCCAAATTCCCCAGTTAAATCCAGTGAGTTTTTGCACTGTATAGACTGTGGGGCATTGCTTAAGCGAAAGTCGCTGTGGAGGCATGTGGCCAGGTGCCGGCTTTCACAGAAAGATGCCCAGGCTAAACCAGGTAGAGGTAGGGTCCAGTCCCTCTGCTCCCTAGCCCAGCCTGTACTGGAGGGCATCAGCAAAAAGCTGTGGTCTTTAATTTGGGCAATGCATCAGGATGAGGTCACGGGTGTTGTCAAAGCAGAAAAGGGGATTCTGAGACTCGGAGAGCACCTGTACTTAAAACACGGGCATGATAAGACTAAGCATGATTACATTAGGCAGAAAATGAGAGAAGTCGGTAGGTTAATTAACGAAGCAAAAACCGCAGGGAAACTGAAAACAATTAAGGATTTATTTATTCCTTCCAACTTTAACCATGTGATTGATGCAGTCAGGTCTGTGGCTGGATATGATGAGGAAACAAATCAATACAAGACTCCATCCTTGGCCCTCAAACTCGGCCATAGCCTCAGAAAGCTAGCAGATATTCTTGAATGTGACTCAAAAATGGAGCATTGTGTTGATGAACTATTTATTAAAAACCTCCAACGAAGCCGGCTGCTTTTTGAGAAGAGGTGGGACGTCTGTGTTTCTTCTGCTGCCCTACAGACCCTCCGGCAAGCCAAGTGGAACACTCCGGACCTGCTCCCTCTGACTGAGGACGTTAGAGCCATGCATGCACATATTGAGGTATGTCGACCTGAATATGTGCAAACCCTAATAAGTGAGCCAACGTCTAAGCATTGGTCTAAACTGGCAGTTTTGACTCTTTGTGAGGTCATTATTTTCAATCGAAGAAGGGAAGGTGAGGTTTCAAAGATGCCACTGACAGCCTTTACCTTAAGAAGTAAGACTGGGATCCATTCTGACATTGCTCTGGGACTGTCCCAACTTGAGAAAAAGCTGTGTCAGCATTTTCAACGCATTGAAATTAAAGGGAAAAGAAGTGGGAAAGTGCCGGTTCTTTTGACTCCTGAAATGATTGCTTGGATGGAGGTGCTGGTGGAGAACAGAAGGGCCTGTTCCATCTCTGACCATAACCCATACTTCTTCTCCCGCCCGGGCGCAGACACCCACATCAGGGGATCAGACTCCCTACGCCAGGTAGCCAAAGAATGTGGTGCGGTGCATCCAGAGATGCCATCCTCAACCAAACTTAGAAAGCACATAGCTACTATGTCTACAGTTCTCAATATGAAAGAGAATGAAATGGACATACTAGCCAACTTCCTCGGCCATGACATTTGCATCCACAGACAATATTACAGACTACCAGAGGGGACACTGGAGCTGGCCAAAATCAGCAAAGTGTTAATGGCCATGGAGCAGGGAAGAGTGACGGAATTCAAAGGAAAGAGCCTCGACCAGATCCAAATTGAGCCTGAAGGTAATTCTTGATATACATAAAATATGTATAATTTTTTACAAAATTATACATATTTTATGTATATCAAGAATTACCTTCAGGCTCAATTTGGATCTGGTCGAGGCTCTTAAAACTTGTATTTTTATTTTCTGTGCTACAGGGAGAGCAGTAGAGATCCTCTCACAAACGGACGGGGTAAAAGAAACTTCAAGCGGAGAACCTTCAACCATTCATCCAGATGCACCCCATGGTAGTGGCAGTGCCCCTTCTGGTAAGTGTACCAGGTGGGGGATTACAGCCAGGCTGCTTGGTCCTAACCCTGGGAGTGTATATTGCTAATATATTTTTATTTCTCTCCCTAGAACGTGTAAGAAAGCCATGGTCTGCATCTGAGGTGAAGGCTGTGGAGAAGACCATGACGCCTTTCATACAGACTGGAAAAGTCCCTGGAAAGTCTCACTGCCTGGCCTGGCCTGGCCTGGCCTGCATTAATGCCTCACCAGATGACCTTAGACATCGGACATGGAGTGGCATTAAATTCTATGTCAAAAAAAGAAATCAAAAATAAAATTCCTTTAAAAGAGTTGTTTGGTTTCTATTGACTGTTTTGTATTACTTAAAGTAGTCCCAGTAAAAAAAGATTATGTCTATGGGTCCCATTCTGAACGGCCCTGTCAAAGGGACCCACCAGGTAACAAAAACGTGTTTGTGCGTGTACAGGTGTGTGTACATGATAATAGATGTGTTTGAGCAGTAAACATTTTTCACTTTCACATGTATTTTTTGAGGTTTGAGTTTAGAAAAGACAAATTATGACTATGTTTATTCCTTAGTCTTTCACTTGAAATATTCCAAATATTTAAAAAGACATATACAGTAAATGTTAAAAGAACCTGTGGTAACTTTCTCACTGCTCTAACCAGGGTCGTTCCCCGGCTGGAGGAGATGGACACAACTATAATGTCCATGCCTGAACTTAAAAAAAAAACTTTTATTTAACCAGGAAAGTCCTGTTATTATTATTGATCCATGGGAAAGTACCATTTAAGATTTCAGAATCTCTTTTTCCGGGGTCCTGGCCCCATGGAGAGAGGAGAGATATCGTACATGGAAAGGAAGAAATCTACACAAACATGGGGAGAACATGCAAACTCTACTCAGCTGAACAGCAGAAACCAAGTCTTGGAAACACAACAGTCCATATGGTGCTGTCCACAGTAGCTGCGCGTCCTGTGACTTCAGCACTAAACGCAGATGTAGAATAATGTTCAGATCAAGTACAAGAGAAAATGGATCAGACTCGGAGCCAGAGGAGGCAGAGTGCGCTGCCGTCTGCAGGAGGCCGCAGCGGACGCATTTCCCAGAACACCACACATTATTTTCCAAAATGATTCCAACATGAGGAAAGGCAGGAGCCGAGTGTGTGTGCAGAAGTGTGCAGCAGTAAGTAGCAGTGTGTAGCAGTAAGTAGCAGTGTGTAGCAGTGTGTAGCAGTAAGTAACAGTGTGTAGCAGTGTGTAGCAGTAAGTAGCAGTGTGTAGCAGTGTGTAGCAGTAAGTAGCAGTGTGTAGCAGTGTGTAGCAGTAAGTAGCAGTGTGTAGCAGTGTGTAGCAGTAAGTAGCAGTGTGTAGCAGTGTCTAGCAGTAAGTAGCAGTGTGTAGCAGTGTGTAGCAGTAAGTAGCAGTGTGTAGCAGTAAGTAGCAGTGTGTAGCAGTGTGTAGCAGTAAGTAGCAGTGTGTAGCAGTAAGTAGCAGTGTGTAGCAGTGTGTAGCAGTAAGTAGCAGTGTGTAGCAGTGAGCAGAGGAGGAGGGAGCTTTGGGGGACGCATACAACAATTAGTGTTTTTCCAAACTCTTGATGGCCCTCTCGATAAATTATGCACGTTTGTTTGGGCCCCGGGTCTCGCTGGGGGCCGTTGTTGAGGTTTTTTCTGACATGTGTTATCTCATAAAGCTGCTTTGATTGTCCTCAGAGCACCTCCAGAGTATGAGTCCACTTTCCTGTCATTGTAATAACTGCATGACACTGACATTTCCACCACCGAGGCCCCTGAACCTCCTCAGGGCCCCGGGATGCAGAGTGTGTTAGGTTTCCATGGTAACCAGCAGAAGACAGATCAGTCGATGATGGGGAACTAAAACCACCCTCAGTTGTTGCGACAGTGAGACTTCTGTGTATTGAGTTCTGCCAATACGGGGTTTTTTTCTCCAAAACTTCATTTGATAATTAAGGAAAGGCAAGTTTTTTTGTGTAGCACAGTTCATACACAAGGCTTCTCAAAGTGCTGAAGAAAAATAAGATCGAAACATTCACAAGAAGCCTTCAAATGAATAATCACAGTTCATAAGAAAGAGTTGAATGCAAAGCTAATCAGAGCTGTTTTTAACCAGGATTTGGACATTGTCAGAGAAAAATCCATGTCTCGCATTTTTGAGAAGATTACCAGAAGGAGGCCAGTCCCTGTGCTCCTCAGAGTCCGAGTTGGTTCATATGGAAGAAACATGTCGCAGATGTACTTTGGGGCAAGGCCTTGGAGAGACTTGGAGAGCTGCTATTCTATTCTCAGAACTTAAAAGCAATTATTGATCTATAATGTTTCTCTATAGTTTCAAAAACAGTCATTTTTATTAGCTTAAATTATACGAGAACTCCAATGTGTCTGTTATTGTCATGGTGTGGACTTTGGATTATTTTAACCTGGTTTTATTTACTTTATTAGTTCTCTTGTATTTTGAGTTTTCCTGATTCCTGTGTGTCCTGTTAGCCCCGCCCTAATGTGATCCACCTGTGTCTCCTCTGTGTATATATATATATATCTATATATATATCTATATATCTATATATATATATCCGTCCATGTCTCAACCAAGTTTGTCTTGTCTAGTTTTTCAGTTATGGATTTTTGTGCTTTTTGTCTCTCTGGATTTCGATTTTTATTAAATTACATTTGATTTTCAGTCCTGCATTTTGGATTCCCTATTTCTTCAATTCTCACGTGACTGTTATACTACACCGGGCGGCACGGTGGCTGAGTGTATAGCCCTCTCGCTTCTCAGAAGGTTCTGGGTTCAAATCCTGGTCAGAATAAGGCCTTTCTAAGTGGAGTTTGCATGTTCTCCCTGTGTCTGCATAGGTTTCCCCTACCACTAAAAGCATGTGCCTCCTGTACTGGCCCCGCTCCCATCTGAGTGAGAGACAAATGCCCACAATTATAAACCGCTTTGTGACTCTGGTCTGTGAAAGGCTCTATATAAATAAACATTACTTACTACTAGATTACTTACTGTATATTCAACATATTAAAGATCAGGTTGATAACTTTCAAATCGAAACAAATTTAGCCATGTAATAAAATCCACTCGTTCCTCCTTCTCTAAACAGTTGGACATTCATATATTGTTAACCTCTGTTACGTCTTTGGATTAGCTTTTTTAGGGCTGAAACTCACAATTATTGCTGTTGTTAAGAACACAGATATGTGCTTTTTATCTAAACTTGACGCAGAAAAGTGACACTCTAATATTTCCAGACAATCACAATTTTATTTTCAAATTTAGACATTTATGCATTGCTGTAGTTATATCTCTGTTTCAGTCTTAAAGTCACTGTTGGAGTCTGTAAAAAAGTAAAAAAAAAAACTCACTCAGCCAATCAGCTCTTTCTTACAAGTAATAAATAAACAATACGATGTGGTATGATTAGTTCCCAACAATTTACAAGACCGTTTCTGCGAAAAAAAAAACAAATGTGGTATGTATGGGAAATAAGTTCCCCCAGCTTTAACATTTACTTTTGAATCCAAACCAATTTCTAAAACCTTTTCAATATTGTCCCTAAGCCATTCTAGAGCCTGCTTCATAATAAGATTTTACAGTAATTGTGTGAGTCTGTACGGTTTGGTTACGGTACAGATTTGAGACTTTTTTTGTGTGTAATTGACTCCAGCAACAGTTGCAAAACACGACGCAAACACAACCAGGCTTAAAGAACATGAACCATTTCAGGGAAAGCGGTTATGTACCTCGCTGATGATCCCCACTGCGCCGTAGATCTTGGAGACATGTCCCAGATGAGCGGGGCATTGATGAGCCATGAGCCGGAGCGCGGGCAGGAAGCTGACCAGAGAGGAGGGGCTGGCCTGGGACACCTCCACCAGTGCTCCCAGTACGGCCTCTGTCAGGGACTGCTCTGGGAGGAAGCTGACCAGGACAGGCACGTGAGGGCTCAGCATCTGCAGAACCAGCAGACCAGTCACAATTTGTTCATCATGAGAGTGTAAACCAGAGGCTGTAGAGAGATGGACAATGCTAAACCCAACGAAACCCAGTAGGGAAGTGCTCATGGCCGAGGTTTGGTCCAACTAAAGCCCATATAAGGAAATTGGCTCCAGCAAAACATATATTTTCAGCAATTTTGTCACTACCAATGGTATGGTATTATTTCATTAAATGTAGCATTAGCCAAAAAGGAATGTGGCATTGTTCTAGAGCAGAAGATGAAAATTCACACGTTTGGAGAAACCAGAGTCCGCAGATAAATAGATAATAGAAAATATTCATTTTTGTCATGAAGACAAGACCAGAAAATTCTGAAAATCTCCGTGCACCTGTGTGACGAATGTATATGTATAAGTATTCTCCGATTAACATTTAAGTGTGTTGATTGAGCGTGGATAGCTCCGGAGAGGCCGGAACTACTTGCGGAGTGATCCATACATCTGAAAGACAGCAGAGAGTGCGTTGCCATGGGCAGCGGTCATTATTGTTTTGAGAGGTCCGTTATAGAAAATAATGACCGGTAGAACGTTTTGAAATTACATTGAAATCAATGGAACGTTCTCCTGCTGCTGTGAGAAGCCGTGTGATAAATACCTTTAATTAAGATGGCATTTCATGTTTGTCTATAAACATGTTGTGTTGTGTTGTGTTGCGAAAGTAAAGTCAAAGACTGAATTCAGGAGGTGGCATTGTTCTAGAGCAGAAGATGAAAATTCACACGTTTGGAGAAGGTGTTTTATCAATTTAAAGTTTTCAGTTTCAGTCTTTTTTTTTCATTTTGTTCAGACGTTTCAGACAGATGAGGTCAGAAATAGGAAAAGGCAGAAGCTGAAGGTTTTAGACGCCGACCCTTTTGTATAAATGTTAAATGTTAAACTTAAATAGCTGCTGCACACAAATCAAAATAAGACATTTACTCCAAAATCATGAAAAATGGTCGAAAAAATTCGGAGTTTGCTTTTGTGGCAAAAAGAGGCTTTATGAGCACGTCAGACCTCCTCCTCTTTATCCATCACATTTGCCCTTTCTTCAGTGAGTTCATGACCTAAACAAATACAACCAGAGTCCGTGATGTGGTCTGTGATCAAATGCAGAAAGACGAGCACAAAGTGAAGCTCAGAGTTGGAGTAAAGTGGAGGACGTGATGAAGCCGCTGGGGGTGATCCTCTGAGCTGCTCCAGATGTCTGTGCTCCTCCGCTGAAAGAACTTTCTGATTGTTTAGATGTCGCTGTATCGAGGTACTTTCCCCTCGCTGAAAGGCTGCAGTTTTTACATACACGTAAACAGTATGGGAACTCAGAGAAAAAACAAATGAAATATATGCATTTACATGATACTGTGTACTACATTATTAATCATATAAATCCCATTATCTCTTGGCCATCTTAAAGGGGCCTTTACTTTACATCACAGAGGTCTGCATGGTTTTCTCTAGTGCGTGACCTCTGCACCAGAAAATATACAAAAACAATTGATCCCGGAGCAGAGTAGACCGATGTCCACCATGATGTCCACTCTTACAGCCGCAGGGTCAAATACGGAAAGATGAATGATATCTTATTCACATAGAAAAGAGAGGGCCACACTCACATAAATAAAGATTACTACTACTTACTACTTACTCAGCCTGTCAGCTCCCAAAGTGTCAATTAGTGACTTCTCCCAAGTATTCAAAACATAACTAGTTTTGTAATAATTTAATAGTGTTTCTGTTTAGACAAACAACATGAAACAAAGCTTTAAACACCTGCACATTGTCTGCTCTTGAGAAAACACAAAGAATAACTATTTAAGTGTTTTAAAAACCCAGTGCAGACCCATCCCGTGGTTCCTCTGGCATTCTAAAGACCAAAAGCTAACCTCACCAGTGGGTGCTGCTCAGCCACCCTCTGAATGAGAGTGAGGAGGTGCTGCTGCTCTGGGGGCTGCAGCTGGGGCATGAGGGCGGTCAGCTCCCCCAGGTGACGGTGCAGGACGTCTGCTTCTCTGGGGTAGATGGACGGCAGGACGCGCAGCAGCATCACATTACCTGCAGAGAGCGACAGTCAAACACAGGTTTTGGGGTTGGTTATTTGTGATAACTTTGTCCCATTACAAGATTATGTAAGGGATAACGTATAGTACGCAGGTCATTATCGGAAAATAAGTACCGACAGGGCGAAGCGGACCCCGACGCGCAACAGTTAGGCTATCAACTTCCAAACTAGAACTCCCTGGAACTGCATGAAAACTAAACAAAGAATTCTGAACATCAGCGGTGAGTGACCCAAACATAAACCTAACCTAAATCCATAATTTGATCCTCTGCAAATGTGTCCTAAAATGTGCCGGTCTCTACTTCCGGGTTTTTCGGGATCGCCTTTTCTCGCAGTACATCAGTGTTTTTGTCATGAAAACGTAAACAGAAAATTCTGAAAACTTCCGTGCACTTGTATTAAGAATGTATATGTATGATGTACTCTCCGATTAACATTTAATGGCGTTGATTGATTGGCATTTGCGTTTATTGAGCGTGAAAAGCTCCGGAGTGGCCTGAACTACTTCCGGGTTTTTTCACGATCGCTTTTTGACGCGGATAAATAGTATTTTTGTCATGAAGACAAGACCAGAAAATTCTGAAAATCTCCATGCACGTGTGTGACGAATGTATATGTATAAGTATTCTTTGATTAACATTTAAGTGTCTTGATTGAGCGTGGCTAGCTCCGGAGTGGCTGGATCTACTTGCAGAGTGATCCATACATCTGAAAGACAGCAGAGAGTGCGTTGCCAAAGGGCAGCGGTCATTATTGTTTTGAGAGGTCCGTTATAGAAAATAATGACCGGTAGAACGTTTTGAAATTACATTCAAATCAATGGAGCGTTCTCCTGCTGCTGTGAGGAGCTGTATAATAAATAACTTTAATTAAGATGGCATTTCATGTTGGTCTGCGAAAGTAAAGTCAAAGACTGAATTCAGGAGGTTCTGAGCTTCTGAGGTGCATAGTGGTGGAGCTGAAGTTGGCTGGATTATACTGTGTTTAGGATGTTTCTGTGGGTTAGCAAAGCAGAGGGCCATTTAACATGACACAGAGGGCCGTGATTGGCCCTTGGGCCTTAGTTTGGAAATGTCTGTTCTAAATGCTGAAAGCCTCCAAGACAGAATCAGTGCCTTGTGTAAACGATGAGTTTACGTTCTCTCAGGTCAGAAGATTTGTTTGGATGAAGAAACATGTTGTAACTTGGTTTAGAGCTTTAAAAAGTCACTTTTGCGAAACACAGGCCCTTTACTTCACCACTGTTTTCATTCAAAGCAAAAAATCTGAAACAGACTTGTTCCCTGGAGTGGCATGACATAACAAAAGGTTGAGTCAGAGATGACAAGCTGCCATATGCCAAGAGGAGGAAACAAAACAAAAGAAAGAGCTGAAAAAATACCTGAGGCTGCAGAATCATCTACTCTAAAGACAAGTTTTCCATCCACTTTACTTGATGATTTCTTTTTTTTTAACTTGTATCACAAAAACAATGTAGATTGTGTGAGCCCTGCTGCTGGTCAGTGGTAGTGCTGGTTCTTCCTGGTTCCTCAGACTCCTGGTTAGGACCTCATGCAGCAGCACCGACGCCTGCTTCTGTTTAGGACTCAGATCCATTGATCATTTGCTTCAAGTCTTTCCAAGTCACTGTCCGGCCCAAAATAGCCCACAAGCCACAACAAAGACCTTAAAGACCTTTTCTGCCGTTCTGCCCGGTCTGTAGCATACATACAGTACATACATACCTCCTAAAGTACGTATTCCATGATAGAGATGCTCCCCATAAACTTACCAGATGAAGAAAAACATAGGATTTCCTCTGCACAAAGAAAGTGATGGGAGAGAGATGTAGGGTCAGAGTTTGTTTGGGCCTGTGACTTGCTGAGTGAATGTGAGTTTGTGTGTGCTTTGTGTTGTGTTGTGTGAGTGAACGGGGCTTGAACTGGACTCTGCCTTCCCAGGATCAGACTCGTGAGCCGCCTCAGTCCTCATTCCACAGCCTCAGTCCTCATTCTACAGCCTCAGTCCTCATTCTACAGCCTCAGTCCTCATTCCACAGCCTCAGTCCTCATTCCACAGCCTCAGTCCTCATTCCACAGCCTCAGTCCTCATTCCACAGCCTCAGTCCTCATTCCACAGCCTCAGTCCTCATTCCACAGCCTCAGTCCTCATTCCACATCCTCAGTTCTCATTCTACAGCCTCAGTCCTCATTCTACAGCCTCAGTCCTCATTCCACAGCCTCAGTCCTCATTCCACAGCCTCAGTCCTCATTCCACAGCCTCAGTCCTCATTCCACAGCCTCAGTCCTCATTCTACAGCCTCAGTCCTCATTCCACAGCCTCAGTCCTCATTCCACAGCCTCAGTCCTCATTCTACAGCCTCAGTCCTCATTCCACAGCCCTCATTCCACAGCCTCAGTCCTCATTCCACAGCCCTCATTCCACAGCCTCAGTCCTCATTCCACAGCCTCAGTCCTCATTCTACAGCCTCAGTCCTCATTCCACAGCCTCAGTCCTCATTCTACAGCCTCAGTCCTCATTCCACAGCCTCAGTCCTCATTCTACAGCCTCAGTCCTCATTCTACAGCCTCAGTCCTCATTCCACAGCCTCAGTCCTCATTCTACAGCCTCAGTCCTCATTCCACAGCCTCAGTCCTCATTCTACAGCCTCAGTCCTATTCTACAGCCTCAGTCCTCATTCCACAGCCTCAGTCCTCATTCCACAGCCTCAGTCCTCATTCTACAGCCTCAGTCCTCATTCCACAGCCTCAGTCCTCATTCTACAGCCTCAGTCCTATTCTACAGCCTCAGTCCTCATTCCACAGCCTCAGTCCTCATTCCACAGCCTCAGTCCTCATTCTACAGCCTCAGTCCTCATTCCACATCCTCAGTCCTCATTCCACATCCTCAGTCCTCATTCTACAGCATCAGTCCTCATTCTACAGCCTCAGTCCTCATTCTACAGCCTCAGTCCTCATTCTACAGCCTCAGTCCTCATTCCACAGCCTCAGTCCTCATTCCACAGCCTCAGTCCTCATTCTACAGCCTCAGTCCTCATTCCACAGCCTCAGTCCTCATTCCACAGCCTCAGTCCTCATTCTACAGTCTCAGTCCTCATTCTACAGCCTCAGTCATCATTCCACAGCCTCAGTCCTCATTCCACAGCCTCAGTCCTCATTCCACAGCCTCAGTCCTCATTCTACAGCCTCAGTCCTCATTCCACAGCCTCAGTCCTCATTCCACAGCCTCAGTCCTCATTCCACAGCCTCAGTCCTCATTCCACAGCCTCAGTCCTCATTCTACAGCCTCAGTTCTCATTCTACAGCCTCAGTCCTCATTCCACAGCCTCAGTCCTCATTCTACAGCCTCAGTCCTCATTCCACAGCCTCAGTCCTCATTCTACAGCCTCAGTCCTCATTCTACAGCCTCAGTCCTCATTCCACAGCCTCAGTCCTCATTCTACAGCCTCAGTCCTCATTCCACAGCCTCAGTCCTCATTCCACAGCCTCAGTCCTCATTCCACAGCCTCAGTCCTCATTCCACAGCCCTAATTCTACAGCCTCAGTCCTCATTCTACAGCCTCAGTCCTCATTCTACAGCCTCAGTCCTCATTCTACAGCCTCAGTTCTCATTCCACAGCCTCAGTCCTCATTCCACAGCCTCAGTCCTCATTCCACAGCCTCAGTCCTCATTCCACAGCCTCAGTCCTCATTCCACAGCCTCAGTCCTCATTCCACAGCCTCAGTCCTCATTCCCAGCCTCAGTCCTCATTCTACAGCCTCAGTCCTCATTCTACATTCTCATTCCACAGCCTCAGTCCTCATTCTACAGCCTCAGTCCTCATTCCACAGCCTCAGTCCTCATTCTACAGCCTCAGTCCTCATTCCACAGCCTCAGTCCTCATTCTACAGCCTCAGTCCATTCAGCCTCAGTCCTCATTCCACAGCCTCAGTCCCTCATTCCACAGCCTCATCCTCATTCACAGCCTCAGTCCTCATTCCACAGCCTCAGTCCTCATTCTACAGCCTCAGTTCTCATTCTACAGCCTCAGTCATTCCACAGCCTCAGTCCTCATTCTACAGCCTCAGTCCTCATTCCACAGCCTCAGTCCTCATTCTACAGCCTCAGTCCTCATTCTACAGCCTCAGTCCTCATTCCACAGCCTCAGTCCTCATTCTACAGCCTCAGTCCTCATTCCACAGCCTCAGTCCTCATTCCACAGCCTCAGTCCTCATTCCACAGCCTCAGTCCTCATTCCACAGCCCTAATTCTACAGCCTCAGTCCTCATTCTACAGCCTCAGTCCTCATTCTACAGCCTCAGTCCTCATTCTACAGCCTCAGTTCTCATTCCACAGCCTCAGTCCTCATTCCACAGCCTCAGTCCTCATTCCACAGCCTCAGTCCTCATTCCACAGCCTCAGTCCTCATTCCACAGCCTCAGTCCTCATTCCACAGCCTCAGTCCTCATTCCACAGCCTCAGTCCTCATTCTACAGCCTCAGTCCTCATTCTACAGTCTCAGTTCTCATTCCACAGCCTCAGTCCTCATTCTACAGCCTCAGTCCTCATTCCACAGCCTCAGTCCTCATTCTACAGCCTCAGTCCTCATTCCACAGCCTCAGTCCTCATTCTACAGCCTCAGTCCTCATTCTACAGCCTCAGTCCTCATTCTACAGCCTCAGTCCTCATTCCACAGCCTCAGTCCTCATTCTACAGCCTCAGTTCTCATTCCACAGCCTCAGTCCTCATTCCACAGCCTCAGTCCTCATTCTACAGCCTCAGTCCTCATTCTACAGCCTCAGTCCTCATTCCACAGCCTCAGTCCTCATTCTACAGCCTCAGTCCTCATTCCACAGCCTCAGTCCTCATTCTACAGCCTCAGTCCTCATTCTACAGCCTCAGTCCTCATTCCACAGCCTCAGTCCTCATTCTACAGCCTCAGTTCTCATTCCACAGCCTCAGTCCTCATTCTACAGCCTCAGTCCTCATTCTACAGCCTCAGTCCT